GGAAGGGTTGGGTGGGTGTCTTTTAACTGTGGTACGCATCTGTGACACCTGCGGGCATCTCTACTATTATTGCTATATATATATATATATATACATATATATACGTATGATAGCAGAAACTCATGCACGTTGTATGAATAAGAACAGTTGTTGCTCCCAAGAGATATCTATAAATGCGGTACATTTGTTCTTTCTTGTTGTCATTTTTTTTTTTTGTACGTTGATTTCTCTTTGCCAGCACACCATTTGCAACGAAGGGAAGGGGTGAAGCGACAACACAGAAATATATATATATATATAAATACTTGACGGGAAGTACACCAATAGAGAAAAAAAACATACATAAACGACATTGGCCCGTTAAAACATCACTCCACAGTTTTTTTTTTCTCTCTCTTTCTTTGCTTCCTTGCTGTTGTTGTGTTGGCTTCTTGATCTCCAACGAACAACAAAGCAAACAGGAGGAGGAGGGGGGAACGTGCCTACGTTAGTTGTTTTTCTTATTGTTGTTGCTGCTTCTGTCTTGTGTGGAGCGGTTTTGTAGGCATTGTTAGTGAGTGCGTTTGCCGGTGTGACCGCTACCACTCAGATATTTTACGGCAATGGGCCGCGAGAGTATGCTGCACAACATCAACCGTACCCTTCAGATTACGCTGGACGATGGCAGGGAACTGACGGGTAAACTGCTCGTGTACGATCGCCACATGAATGTCGTGCTGGGCGACGTCACGGAGAGCCGGGCGGAGACGAAGAAGATGAAGGAGGCGGGCATTAGTCCAAAGCGCAGCCTCGGGCTCGTGCTGCTGCGCGGCGAACACGTTATCTCCGTCACGGTGCTAGGCAGCAGCGGGAATAACGGGGACGCGGATGTGGCGACAAAGGGGCGACCGGTGAACTTTGAGAAGGCGCCACGGGTGAAGCTGGCAGGTGCGAAGCGGGCACGGTAGGCGAGAGCCACGCGAGGGAAGTAAACGGATAAAGGGGAATAAAAAAGAGGAGAAACCACGGGACGCGCAGAAGGGGCGAACGACGGAATTCGAAGTGGGAGGCGTGCGTATTGTGTCGTCATGCGTTCTCCGTGCCCGTACCTGTGTATGGGAGGGGAGTTGTGTTTGCTGGGTCTGCCGTCTGGAGGGGCCGCACCGTAGGAATGTGACGAGGAAACTGAGGGGAAAAGAAGTGGAGCAAAAAGAGATATAAAACAGAAACAACCAAAAAAAAAAGAAAGTTTTAACAGCATCAAAGAAACAAAAGGAAGGCATGAAAAAAGTCAACGAGAAAACGTGAGAAAAAGGAGGCCGCACCGCTCAGCTCCCACACATGGAGGAGAGGGAAGATCAGGGGGGGTTGGTGGGTGGGCGGGAAAGACACGCCTCATGCACAACACACATGCAGCTGGGCTGCGGTGGCAGGCGTAAGGGGCCTCGCAGGCGACGAATGATGACTGTTGGTTTGTATTCAGACATTTCCATCTTCCTTCTCTCTTCCAAGAAAAAATAAAAAGAGTAAAAGAAGGGGACAAAGAGAGCGACGTGGTAATGAGCCTGCGGTTGCGTGTGTGCGTCCAGGAACCATTCTCTTACTTTGCTTTTCTCCCTTTTTTGTTTTTGTGTGAAGGGGCGGGGAGGAGGCGGTGGTCACTCCCTTGCCTTCCTTAAATGTCCACCCACTTTGCCGATTGGATGCAGACAGGAGACGGTGCTGCACCCTCATATTCATGGCAGCGACCAGATGCGGGTCCGCAAACGAATGCAACTTCTTCTTTCTCGATTTCTTTTCCTGCTTTCACCACGGAGGCCCACGATCTCATTTGGTTTCCCACAGGCAGACATTGTGTTGTAAGGGGGCACGACAGATCGTTCTTGAATTTTGCGAGGGAAAGTGGTGGCAACCACGATACCGAAAGAAAGGGAAAAACCAAAGCACACATACACAAAAGGAAGGGCTGAGTGACTTACAGAGGCCTTCTCTACACAGTGAGAAGGCGGCGGTGGACGAGTGATACACGTAGATTACAGGGATCAAAAGAGGGATATGCCACCAAAGTTTGGCCGGCGTGCGGGAGGGGTGGACAGTGGCAACATCGACGATGCCGCTGCTGGTGTTTTATCCCAAAAAATTGCTACTGAAGCTGATAGGCAGCGGCTGCCGGATGAGGTTGTGTACAAGGATAAGCTTCACAACCTTGACGACGGTGTTGACGGGCAGGCGCACGAACAGACTGCTCGCCAGGCTGTGGAGGAGAAGGAACAGCTTGTCAAGCGTATCGCAGAAGCGCCTGTGGGTTACACCCACGTGATGCCCAAACTCGCTGAATTAGACCTGTCAAGTCTGTGGAACGACTTTCTGAGTACTATTCATCAGGACTTTGACATCTCCGCACTCACCTCCTGTCTCTCACAGCAGCTAGATGATGAAGATGTGACGTGGAACCCGGATATGCTGCTTGTGCAGCTGACATCGGACATGTTGGATGCTGCTGAAAGTGGCGACAATGCCCCACTTGCTTCTGACCCTGCAGCACTGGAGGCGACTAGCGAGGCACGACGGCAACATAAGAAGTTTCTGGAGAATGCCGACGAGGTGATTGCGCCAACGCGGGGTCGCCGACACCGATCTTCCGCCGGGGTGGAAGGACAGGCAACGCCAGAAAATGCGTCACACATTCCTTTCTCAAGGGAGGCGGGTGAGATGGCTTCTTCAGAACACCCAGAGAAGCATGCTGAGCGGACGCTCAGAAAAGAGAGCCACCGCAACGACAGAGAGCTACGGGCAAAGGACCCTACTGTGGGTGCTGCCCCAACTGATCGTTCAACACGAGCCAATGCTCCACTAGCTGGAGACGCAAATCGAAAGACATCGGAGAAGAAAGCAAAGGAGAAGGGATCTCGTACACGCAGGTCGGTATCTGGTAGGAGTGACTTGCCAACCAAGGCGGAGAAAAAATAGTTGCCACTGAAGCATATACATGGCGCATGTATACGTTGAATCTCAGTATGCTTCTCCTTCTTGCTGTTGCTCTGCATGTATGTTACTCTCTTGGCATGTGTCAACGTGCGGAGGATGTAGTGGGACTGGAGGTAAGGAAAGAAGAAGTAGAAGGGAGGTGCAACACTTCCTTTGCCATTTCTCCCTGGCAATTTTTTTTTTTCTCTCTTTCCGTTTATTATTATTATTTTTTTGTTTGATTTGAATGAAATTCAGGAACTCCGTGTTTGTCTTTTTTATATATTGCTGTTCTGGAGGCCGTTGCAGCTGTGCAAGGAATTATCCTTTTGTTTTTTTCTTCTTGGGCAGAGGCAGAGGCAGAATAAACACCTTGCATTGAGTGAAAGCCTTTCACTCTCTCTCTCTCTCCCTCTGTGTGTGTGTGTGTGTGTGTTTGTCTGACTGGGAAGCAGTTTCCGGCCCAGCAAACTCCACATAGCACTCTTCCGTGAACAAGGGAATAAAATAGGAACCAAGGGGAAACAAAAAGGGGCGTCCTGCTGGCGAACTGCAATGAAGCGAGTGTTAGTGCTGAATGTTGACTCCTTCGTTGGCAGGGAGGTCTGCCGTCGCTTCTTCGATGCCAAAGAGTACCTGATTGACGGTACGCTCTACCACACCTATCCATCAAACAAGGGCGAACAGAAGACGCAGACATCTTATTGTCTGACTGCAGATGACGCTGCAGGCGCGGCAGCGGTGCCGCGTGTGGCAGATTCTGCTGCCTTGTTGGAGACGGAGGTGCCGCCCGAAATGCAGCCGTTTCTAAACTCTGTGATGCCGCGTCATGGGGAGATTAGTGACGAGCAGTTCCGCGCCCGGGTGCTGACATACGACATCATCATCGCCATCCTTGAGGAGGACGCCTTTGAGGCAGACTGCGCTATCAAAGTTTTTCGTGGTACGCACTACGAGGTGGAGAAGACATTTGTGCTTGTCTCCAACGTACTGACGTGGACGCAGACAGACGCCCACGAGCGTTACTTGCAACTTGCGGCTCGACGTGCAGAAAGGGAGGCGGCTCGCGCCCAGCGCGACGAGGATGAGGAGGAGGAGGAGGAAGAAGAAGAAGAAGAAGAAGAAATGGAAAAGAAGGTGTGGACTGAGGAGGAATACCGTCAGCGCTACCCGGATGTTCGCTACCATCACTGGCGGGAGCTCGAGCACGCGGTGAAGCATGCTAATTCGGAGACACTACACACCTACGTCCTGTGGGCGGGGTTGCCATACGGTGGCGGTGAGGACCTCCTCGCTCCCTACTTTTACGCTGCCTGGAGGAATCAAGAAATGCTTCAGTACGGTGATGGATCAAACTACATCCCCACCATTCATGTAAAGGATCTTGCGCGGATCATCTACCTTGTCGGCTCCTCGTATGACACTCTTGAGGAACGCTACATGTTTGCTGTTGATCAGGGCAACAACACACAGGCGGATATCTTGGAGGGGATAAAGGACTTCATTGGTGGTGTTGTCACTGTGACGGCGCCTAGCATTGACCGTGAGCATCAGCTTTTAACGCTATCTCACAAATCAGAAGAGCCAATGAGGATGCCACCGAGTGAACTGGAAATGGAAGGCGAACTCCAACGTGAGCATGATGCCCTCTTGGATCTGGAGGCGCGGGAACTGCATATAATGGATGAAGTGAGAGATGAATTTTTGAAAGTGCATGAAATAGCGTGGCGAGAAAAAAACTATCAGTCTCATTCTGGGCTTGGGGCTGAGGAAAGCGATGACGATGGCAAAGAACCCTTCTCTAGAGGGGGGCGTGAACCTATGGAAGAATCGGTTTTTGCGATAACTCCACCACATGGTTTGGCGAACTGGTTTAGCGCGGTTGACGTACGCTGTGAGCCCGGTGCCGTACTTTCGCTGCTTTCAGAGGAGGAGTGGGTCTCGCTTGGAGGCTTCTTTGCGAATGTTGACAAAATTGTGCGAGAGTTTAAAGTCGCACGGCAGTCGAGTCCCATGCGTATTGTTCTCTCTGGCCCGCCCTTGAGCGGCGCGGGGGAGGTTGCCGGAAAAACTGGCGGAGTTATTTAATATTCCCCACCTGACGTTGGCAAATGTGACGGCAGCCTATGAGGAGCATGTGCAGTCTTTGCGCGATGAGTTGGTGGAGATTCTTTTGCTGCGACAACTGGGTCGGCTGGAGGCACGCGAAGAACGCCAGCGCCGTGAGGCAGAACGGGCAAGGAAGGCCAGGAAGGCGCGTCGAAAAGTAAGGGACGAGGAAGATGATGGGGAAGGTGAGGAAGGGGAGGAATACGATGAAGGGGAGGAAGAAGAAGGGGATGAGCACGATGAAGGGGAGGAAGAAGAAGGGGAGGAAGAAGAAGGAGAGGAGGATGAGGGGGATGAGGAAGAAGGGGAGGAAGCTGCATCACCCGCCGCACAGGACATGAGCCCTACAGAGCGTTTACGTGCCACCATAACAGAGGCCATGCTGCTACATCCGCCTGAGGATGAGGAGGACGAAGAAGAGGATTTTAATGGCAACTCTAACGAGGATGAGGAGATGGATGAGAAGGCAGCCGCCAAGGCGCAACAGGTGGACGAGGCCGAGCGACGCCGCATTGCGACACTTCGCGAGGAGTATCGCTTTGCCACACAATTACTGAAATTACGTCTTTTAAATGGGGTATTCCCGTCGATCCCAAAAGACGAGGATGAGGAGGAGGAAGAAGAAAAAGAAGAGGACGACGATTACGAAGATAAGACGCCAAGGCAGGGACAAACTATGGGTGTGAAAGCAGACGTTGTGGAGGAATTGCCACCACCGACGATTCGTTATTTTGATGAGGTGATGGCTGTGATGGTCCGCTGGCGGCTGCGACAGGAGGACTGCAGAAATCAAGGCTACATCCTTGAGTCCTTTCCGGAGACGGTGCGTCAGGCCTGGCTGACGTTTATGGCCGACACGGAGGAGCAGAAGGAGATGCAGAGGCCGAAGTTACAGAAGGATCGTGACGCGGAGGAGGAACCGCGCCCACCACCTGACGCAGGTTTCCCACTGCCTGTTCTTACTGACCTGGGGGAGGAGCAGCAGCGGGATATTTTGGATTTAATGGCCGGACGGACATTTGCATCTGCGGAGGAGGTCTTGGCCCCTACAAATGATGCCTTTTTTCCGGATTGCTTTATTGTCTTGACAGGCAGTGAAATTGTTCTTCGGTCACATATAGATGCTGCAGCTGTCGATGCTTCTCATGCCGACGCAATGTCGGACATATCTGAGCTGTTTACGCGTTACATGACGCACAATCGTCCTGGTGCCCCACCGACAGAGTCACTTGTCTGTTGGTTTCAGACGGTGGTGGCAGAGAAGGAGGAGCGTGAAGTACCTGATAGTGGTGATGCAGAGGCAGGAGCAAGGGTGGAGCAGTTACCCCGAAAGGCGTGTGTCTTATTCGTACCGGTACTTTCCACTACTCCTGCAGCTGTGTTGCCAAGGGCATTTTCCCAAGAGGAGGTATCGGACATGGAGGCCTACTGTGCCCACATACGGTGTGAAATCCTTAATAACGTTGGCCTTGGCAGTTGTAGCCCTGTGATAGAATCCATGCGGGCTGAAGAGGAGGCGACGCAGCGTTGGTTGCAGGAGTTTACTCTTGAGCACGAGATACTAGACAAATTGTATGCCTCTGAGGAGGTTTTTGCTGCCCGTACACGCAAACTAGAGGACGTTGCCATGGATGATGAGCGACGGGCGTTGCGGTATTATCAGGCAAAGGAGGAATTAGCCTCAATTGCCAGCATTGACACTGTTCCAGTGAATATGTATTTGATGCGGTATGTGCTGCCTAGTCTGACACCGCTGATGGCGGAGGTGGTGCGGATGCGCCCAGAAGACCCGGTAACTGTCTTGGCGGACGCCCTGTTTCACTACAAGAGGCAAATAGAGCTCTGAGCTGGCCACCTCTCAGTGTCGGTTTCTCTCACACCCCCTCTCTCGTCCTGTCTCTATTGGACTTCCTCGTGTGGAGCAAGACAAATTGTTTCAACGGCAGCGAATGCTGTACTTACTTCCTAGACGAATCTGCATGATGTAGAGGAATAAGCGAAGACGACGGACAACAAAAATAAGGGATGGAGGGACACACACACACACACACACACATAACTCTCTTCACCCGGCCTTTTTTGTTGCTGCTTGTCGCTAGCGTTGTATATAGAGATATATTTCTTTTTTTTTTCACTTTGCTATTTTTAGTTATTGTTGTTTATTATTTCGCGTTGTTGTACCCCTCTCCCCCTCTTTGACGTGCAACATGTTGTCTCTCACACACCCTCACTCTTTTTTGTATGCTCTGCGTCTGGGAGGTAGGGAAGGAGGGAACGAGAGAAAGAGAGAGAGGGCGGAAAGGAAACCAAGAATTGAAGGACCGTGGCTTCTTAGCGACAGACTGTAGGCGAAGCGAGAGTAAGCGGAAACAATGGCAGAGCACTTTCGGAATCGTATCAAGGAGCTACGATCACGCAAGGTGGCGACTGAGGATGCGGCTCTTAGTTCACAGACGGCGGCGGGGTCTGCAGCGACGACGGTGGCGTCGATGACGCCTCTCCAGCTCTCGTCATCGGCTTTGTCGAGTAAAACAGTGGCGTCGGTTCCTGTGGCGAATCTGCCGCCGCCGTTTGTATCGCCGCACGCTGCAGTGGTGAAGTATCGGGACACCGTGCGTGATCCGTTGTGCGCGCGGTTTACGACACAGCACGCGTTGAACCTCTTTGAGGTTATGCTGCAGTCAGCCAACGACACCGCACGGCGCAAACGGGCCCGTTCCCCGGACAATGAGGCCTCCACGGAGAAAACGCAACGCTCTGGTTGCCCAGAGCCGGAGCTGGAGCATACATCAGAGGAGCGAGAGGAAAATGGTGAGGAGCGAGACTCACCGCGCCATCTTGACACCGAACAGCCTATGCTGAGAAAAATTTGCGACGCCGAGAGGAAGCAAGAAAACAACTCCACCTCTGATTCTTCTCTTCCCAATGTGGTTTCTTACTTCTTGCCTGAGATAGCTGCAAGGTGCTTCACTAACAATGAAGAGTTGGAGGAACGAGATGAGCTTGTCAATGGACAGGCACACCTAAATCGTCCAGAGGCTAGTGCAGGAACATACGTTGGCGGCAGTTTACGTGGCAACAAAAGCAAATGCATTCTTGTCACGGGGAAACGGTTCCCACCTTGCCGTTCAGTAAATAAATACATTCCGAAGGCCCGCATTGCGCAGGGAGTGTACGGTGTGGTCATCAGCGCCACTAAGTCCACTCCTGAGATTCTTCGCCACGGGCTGGAGCCGAAGCGGATGATCAAAAAGTATGCACTAAAACAGGTGAAGGAGCAGTGGCTTGTGGACTCGCAAGTCGGGTTTCCACCGTATCTCCTGAGGGAGTTTGATCTCCTGCTTCGGATACGCCATCCAAACATTGTAAGAGCCCGAGAGGTGGTGATTCTCGACAAGCGGCTTGGGGCGGCAAGGCACTCGCGCAGTGAGGCGGGTGGTAATGGTGGTGGGATCGAAGGCAGCCACAAGCCTCGTCCTGAGACCACCGAAGGGTTTTTGCAGGAGGCAAAGGGGTTGGCCTCCAACACCAACGCTGCCCCTCAACCGCAGGAGAAGTCAAAGACAGATAGGACACCGAAACACGAGCGCGGTACAACTCATGTAAAGGACGTGTATTTGGTGATGGACTATTGCCCCTACGATCTCAAGTCTTTTCTCTCTCTTCATAATGAAAAAGGGGTTTACCTGCATTTAAGTTCCTGCAATACACACCCTGATGCCCCACACAATTTTTTGTCTCGAGTGAAATGTATTATGCAACAATTGTTTCGAGCCCTGAATTTTCTCCATGATCATCGTATCTTGCACAGAGACATTAAAACCTCTAACATTCTCATTAGCCATGAAGGGGTGGTGAAGCTTTGCGACTTTGGTTTGGGGCGGCTGTACTGTGAGGGGGAGCAGCTGACTGCCAACGTTGTCACTCTCATGTATCGTGCTCCAGAGCTACACTTTGGTGTGCGTGACTACTCCCACAAGATGGATGTGTGGTCGCTGGGGTGCATCATGGCAGAGTTATTCCTCAAGATGCCGCTGTTTCGAGCCGAAGAGGAGGTGAAACATTTTGCCGCCATCTGCAACATTATTGGGATACCAACAGAGGAGACGTTCAGCGGGTTGTACAAGATGCCGGAACTTTTGCGCATCATGCGTTGCCTCACAAAGTACAATCGTGAAAACCATCTTGCTCATGTGTTTGAGAAGTCGCGCCACGCCGGTGCGGCGACTCTGCCCGCGAGTGGGATGGACTTGCTGCAACGCATTTTTCAGTGGAATCCTTTGGACCGACTCTCTGCACGTGATGCGCTCAACCACGCGTTCTTTCACGAGGCCCCGCTGCCATGTGAGCCGGCGGAACTCTTGCGTCCCATACCAACAACAAACGTGCTGCCTGCGCGGCATGAGGGTAAGTCATCAACGAGAAGAAATGAAACACGCGACGTGGTGGGAACACCCCCACCCGAGCCGCTGGTCGTTCCAACAGATGCATTGCCTTGGGCTGGAGAAAAGCCTGCGGCACCGCCGGCGATGGCCCGAGTTGCATCAGTGGAACCGACAGGGGCCACCAGTACCGCGCGGGACGCGCGTGGAAGGACGGGGTTGGCGGTTGAAGTGGCCTCGTCTTCGTCGGAGGACGACGCTGAGCATGCGCTGCTGCGGGAGTTAGACTCACTTAAGGATATCCCAAGTCCTGGTGACGGGGACGAGGCCCAGCGTGTGGCGAACCAGGCTCGTCTGCAGGCGAATCAGGACCGTGATTGGGCGTCATCGCCAGGGTTTTGATGCATCTGAAACTTGAAAGCTTTGATGAGAGTGATGGAGGAAAATCCAGTGAGAGCAAAAAAAAAAAAGAGGGAATAAAAAAAAACAAAACAAAACAAAAAACACAAAAAACAGACAAAGAAACGTAGAAGAAAAGAAAAAAAGAAGAAGAAAAAAACAAACAAACTTTGCTATGGCTGTATTGATGGTGCTTGCTGCTGCTTCCTTTTTGTTGGACTGATTTTATTTTAGTTTCTGTTGTTGTTGCTCTTCCTCTCTTTTCCTCTCTCTCTCACAGATACACGCACTTTTTCCTCACACTTTCTTTTGTTTTTATTGCCTGTGTCCCTTTGCGGCGGGAGAGAAACTTGGCATCTTTCTATTCCTTCAATTCCGCGCTGCCAAAAAGGAAAACAAAAAATATACATACACGCATAACCGAGGGCTAGTGAAGGGGCGAGGACGGCAGTGCGTTGTGTTGCCATCACACTTCTGCGTCTTGGACCACCGCAGCAGGGGCAAAAACCGAAGTAAGAGAGACAAACATACGCACAAACAGGCAAAAAAAAATAAATGATCTTCGGCTCGGAGCCACCGCTGTATTTGAAGCCCGTTGGACGCCGCGGCCTGCGGCGGCACGATGCGGATGTTCTGCAGCACTACCCGGGCTACGTGCACCCCGTTGTGCAGTTCCCAGGGAGTGACGGGTACATCGGCGATAACCACCGCCTGCACCCGTTCCTCACCTCCGCAGAAGAGTTGCGACACGAGCGGGTGGTGGAGGCCGAGCGTCGGCAACGCGTTATCGAGGCACGCCGAAGACGCTACTGTGAGCAAGAAACTAGTTTGAGACAGCGGAGGGAGGAGGAGTTTCAACGGGAGCAGCGTCACAAGGAAAAAATAGCCGGTCTCTCGATTCGAAACGAACCCGGCGACGGGCGTGATACCATCACGCAGCGCTGCGTGACCGTGGGCGCACTCCGTCAACATGAGTACACGGCTGCGGCGGAAAGGCACAAATACTTTGTGAGACAACGTCGTCTATTTGAAAAAAACAATGTTCATGGGTACAACATTATAACAGGTGGAGAGTTGCCTTCAATAGTTGTACCACCGATGCCGGTCCGTCCACCCGCCGCGGAAATAGCCTAGATACAAAACTGTGACGTGAATGATGTAGATATGAGCAGGTAAAGAACAAGAGCCGTATACACTGTATCTGTGTGTGATAGGCCTCCGATCTGTCGTTGTTGCTTCGCTGCGTAATTCTGTGGTGTAGATCAAGATTACCCCTCCCTCCCTCCCTTCATTTTCTATGTTGAGTTGATTATAATGGTCTTATTACTATCTAGTGCTGCCGTTGAACGGTTATCACCCTTGGCATCTTTTTGCAATGTTGAATACCTTTTCGACGTGCATCTGTTTCATTGTGGAGTTCTTATTGTGTGTGTATGTGCATACATATTTGCCGTGCACACACACGCTCTTGTGCCTTCGGTTTGACTCGGCATGCTTCTTTGTCTACACACTTCTTTTTTTTTCCTGCCCATTTCTTTCATCGGCTTTGTTTCCATGCTGCATGCGGATATTCCCCCCCCCCTCCCTCCTTCTCTTTTTTTTTTTAGTTTTATTTTCTCCTTTTTTTTTTTACTTATTTGCCCTCCGTGCCACAACAGCACACACAACGTGCTTCGCCCGTTGAAGTCGCTTGTTGTGGGCACATAAACCTCTTCGCAGGCAGGGTGGCGAGGTAGCAGTTGCTTCTCTGCTGTTAAACGAGTTAGTAGTCGGTTGCATCGAGTTTGGTCTTGCTATCCGCGGGATGCCGAGGAGTGGCGACGGTGACCAGCAACAGGAGGAGGAGCAGCGGGGAAAACAGCAGGGCGGTGATTCTCCTTTGCGCTCGTTAACGAGGGATATTACGCCGGGAAGCTTCGCAGCTTCACGGAGTGCTGTGGACGCCGAGTTGATGTGGCCACCGCGGGAGGAGGATGACACATCCGTGTCCCGTCCGGATGTGGCCCAGACAGGTGAGTGGCCTCAGCCGTGCAGCATCGGCGCCTCCGTACGCTCACTTCCTTTCAGGGAGGCAGCAGGAGGAACGAGTTTTTTGGATAGCGAGGCTCTCATGCGCAGGAAGTGGGGCACCCTTCAGAAGGAGTGTCCGCTTCATCCACGGTCTTCGACCCCGTCAGTGGGAAGCGTAAGCTGGAGTCACGCAAGGGAGGCTTCGATAGGCACCTTGACGCAGTTGGGCACCCCACCGCCACTGCGGGCCAGCGCGGCGGTTTTTGTTTTTACGCTGAACGAAGAAGAGAGCCTGCGACAATCACCACCACTAGAAGTTATCGCCTCTTCAGGCAAGCGTGAGGGTAATTATGGGGTCAGCACAGTACCGCACAATATTGCTGTCAGCGCGAGCAGCAATAAAGGTCCTATTGATGCTCAAAAAGGTGTACAAATTGGTGCCGTGGCAACACAAAAAGCGGAGTCGGTAGACTTGCAGAGGTCAAGTTTTTCTTTGGGTGCACCACAACACTCAGGTTTCTTACAAGGTGCTGGGGAGCGAACTACGGCTATGCATGGGGGTCAAGGACTCTCTGGTATAAGTAACTCTTGTCGAGTAAGTAGTGAAAGGAGAACTCTCTCCGGAGGTGACGATATTGTGTCAAGTTCTCGCGATGTAGATCACCAAATCACTCCACTAAGTAGTAAAAACAATGAGGATTTGGGCTCAGCGAAGCATGTGGTGTGTTATAAAGTGAGGAGATTTCAGAAGAACCCTAACAATGACGATAGGCATGGGGATGGAATGTCTAGCTCCGATGATGACTGTTGCTGCTGTAGGGTTTGCAATCTATTTTGGTGTTGTAGAGGGGACTGTGGGTTCGGGACGGCATTTCTAGCAGAGGATCAGTCTGGCAGACAGCGAGAAAAGGTGAATATAGAGCAACACCCTGGCTCTAAATCTAGATTTTGTGGGAAGGTGTTTTGTCAGTGGGTATATGTGAATGCTTTTGCAGGTGATCATGCTGTGGCCTCGCAGATTCTTTGCCTTATGAATTGTATCTCTGGTATACTTGTGATACTCGCCGTGTTGCTTCTTTTGGCAGGACTGTGGAATGATCGACCTATCATTCTTGTGAATGATGGCTCTATATGCCATGGGACGGTGGTGCCTGGAGTTGTGACGCCAGACATTTCGTTTAGCATTCTTCTCTTTCTTTTTAATGCATCCCTGGCGGCCTACTGTGCTATTCGGGCGGTTCGATATGAGAATACAGGTCTGCTAATATGCCACTTTATCGCTGTACTACTGCAGCTATGCCGTGTCATGTATTTTTTGTATTTCATGAACATTGACACCCTTTCGAACCCTTTGATGCTATATACGGAGATCCTGCTTGGCCTAAGCGCCTTCTTACTATTGGCTTCATGTGGCACATACCGATGGGTGCGCATGTCGTTTGGATGGGGGCGATTCATGAGGGGCATCACTCGCTCTGTTCTGTTGCAGCGTCACCGGCGGCAGATGTTTGTACAGTCGTTCGTACAGCTCGATGTCTACGGCTCTATCAACAGTGCTCTCACAGTGGCATACATGGTGGGCACAAACCTTGAACAGTTTCTAGGACTAGCGGTTGCGGTCCTCTCTTGTGCGGCGGCGATGCTTTACCCGGTGATGCTTCGACGCCGTTCGATATGGTTTGTCTGCTTTTTTTCATTAACATTGGCATTCTCGTTGGTGTTTTATTGCTATGTTATCAGCAGCGCGATGGAGCTTTACTTGGTGCGCAATGCAACAGCTCACTTTGAGGCGAGTCGGTGTTATAAGCCACAACTTTTACACTGTCTGAGAGACCTGGAATATGACTTCATCTCCCAAGAGGGTGCTACACGGAAGAGTGTCAATGGTAGCAGAAGTTTTTTACCCTCTGAGGGTGATCGCAGCGAATTCTTTCAAGACTCGCCGTGCAAGGGGAATTGTCTTTTAATGCGTAACGATCACTATGTGAAAGGGTTTACGCACTGCTGTGAAGTATATGGCAACTGCCGCCTTAGAGATGGCGTGCAAAGTTACGGTGTGGTGACTCTCACGGTGCTGGCTGTCATTGTGTGGACAGTGCGCATCATTCTTGTCTGGGTATGGGCTTCTTGCATGGCGGAGGATGCAGAAGAAGCAGCGAGAGGTTTTCAAAACCCCACTTTCAATTTCCCTACATCTTCTTCGTTGTTACTCGCCAGCTCCTTTGCCAAACGTTTGGAGTCCGCCTGACATTACCCTGGTACACTCAGGGGCAGTGGGGAAGGCGGGGCGCTGTTTTGAGTCTCAACGGGGGGAACGAGTGGTTTTTACGAGAAAAGATGTGGTCGTGTATGCATATTGGAGCGGGGAAGGGAGGTCTCTTGCTGTGGGCCAAGTAAGAAGTGTAGCAGAGACGACTATAGTGAACGGCACGGCGACATGATTACCATTTTTCGGTGTGAATGGGTGTATGGACGGTGTGGAGGGATTGGCGATGGGTGATGAACGAGTTCATCCCGCGTGTATGCACTGGACATGGTGACACACAAACACTGATGGCCCTTGTTTCCTTCCTCTTCCTTTTTTTCTATATTTGTAGTTGTTTACACCTGAGGCTTGTCGCATGATGGGTCGGCGTTCCGCGGTCTCCCTGCCGCATCGCATCGTACTGCATCGCTTTGATTAAAATGGCACTAGTTTGTGCAAAAATCAATACTGCGGACTTCCCTGAAATTTTGTTGTATTTTTGTGTCGTTTTTTGGTCTTCCCCTTCATCCAGTTGCGTTACCTCTTGAAATCACCAAACAAGTGAGCCTTGCGGCATGGGTGCAAAAAGGTGGATTAAAGAAACGAAGGCGTGTGTGCTTCGTGTTTGCTTGCATTGCTGTCGTAACGTACGTGCGTGTGTGTGTGGGTGAGTGGGTGCATATCCCTTTATTCTGTGTGCAGGTATATATATATATAGTTACGCACATACACAACGCACCAACTGATCTTTTTTTTTTTTTTTACTCTTACGCTCTTTTTGCAGGTGTCCTTCCCACCTGCCTCCGTGCCTATCTGAAAAACGAAGCCGTGGTGCCTTGCCTTCTCTTTACGGTATACAGCTTACACGTTCTTCAAAAAGTTTGTGTTCCACTTTTTTTTTCTGTAGGCGGCGGGGACGGGTTTCAATAGGATTAAGGCGTTGGATTTCTGGTTTTGCTGTGGTTCTGCCCGGGAGGGAAGGAGGCGCTTAGGTGCGGTGGTGGTGCAAAGATGTGGCGACGCGGTGGGTTTCTCTTGGGGCGGATCCTTGACGACACAAACGCCAGTCATGCCTTGCGAACGGTGAGGCGCGTGGAGCGCAGGCGTGTTGAGAAGGCGCAAGCCAGGCGGGCCACAGAGGGCACCAACCCATATAACAAGGCCCAATATATCAATGCCTTTGTCGAGGCAGAGAGCGCCAGAATGACACACGAGCGGCTTATGAAAGAAAACGCAGCTGAGGAGCAGTCGTTGTTGGCTGTCGTGAATGCCGCCCGTCCACCAGTCGTCATGGCGTCCGATAAAAATGTGCCGCCGGGCAAGACAGAGTCTGGTGCGGTTGCATTTGGCGCTTGGCGTGAGGCAGATCCCGCTCTGGATCGTGTTTGTCTGTCGATGGACCGTAACCTTCACTGCATAGTGCGAGGGGCAACAACACCACCTGCTTTTTCGCCGGAGGCTCTCCAGCGCGGCATTCCCACCCGTCTCCAGAGCGTACAACGGCTACTGCAGTTTGTTCACGCAAATGGGCATGGACGGTGGCCGAAAGGGAGACTAAACGCCTTTGCTGTTCGCATGGAGACCTGTTTAAGCGCGGCGTGCGGGGATGATTTCAGCATGAGGCAGCGATTGATGACGATGCTGCTTTATTCCGCCGCCAAGCGGAATTGGGAACTGGCATTCCAACTCTACCAGGAGCTGCTCTTACCAGCCATACAGCAGCAACAGCGACGTGTGGGAGAAGGTGTTGGTGCTGTGACAGGGACCGAGGCCTCCGCCTCCGCCTCGACCTTTGTCGCCGTACTGTGTGAGTCCATTCGAGCTTATCACCACGCAGGGGCTTTGACGAGTTACTCCTGCCCGCCATTCAACACTGTTGCAGAGCTGGTGCATCCATCGTCACCTCCTCTATTGCCTGTTGCTGCCGCCCCACTGTTTAGCATTCTTCAACCAAGTAATAACGCGACGTGGGAGAAGGTGGTGGAGCTTGTACAGCGGTTTCAACCACACGGAAATGCGCGGATGTACCTCCCTGCCATTGCGTGGGGGGAGATGTTGCGGGCGATGCATCGCATGGGGGCATCGCTGACGGAGGTGCAGGGAGTTGTTGACATCATTACGGATCCTAATCGTACCAAAAATGCCGAGAAACACATGCGGGATACGCATATCTGGAACGCGTACATCTCCGTTAGTGACTGGGGGCATGCGCTTGAGGTGTACTCAAACAACTTGGCTCACTACGGTGTGAAGAAGACGGCGGCAACGAGCGCCGCACTGATGGAATCACTTCTGCGAGACAGACAGTGGGAACAGGCGTTGGATGTCTTCCACCGCTTGCAACAGAAAGAGGGGCAGCTCATCATAGGTACATCCAGCGTCTTTACGGCTGTCTTCCAGGCTCTTGAGCAACAAGGCGACTGGCAGGCTGTGGTCTCGCTTTTAATGGACTTTGATCACTTCCTCGTGTATTTTGGGGTTCCACACGACTTTTGGCTCACCTCACCGCTGAGGGAGGCGCTAAGAAGACCGCAGCACCTTAGTGAAGATCAGCTGGTGCCATTGGTGAGGGAATTGCTAGGGTGCAGTCATGTCACCTGCGAGCTTGTACGTGCAGTGGAGGCTGCTCTTGTCACATGCAACCAACAGAAGCGGCAACGCGAACAGCACCCACAGCACGAGTTGTCTGCGGGGGCGGAGGACGTCTGTGACGATATCCTCACTGCTGAGGGTCTTCACGATCTCATGTGAGCGGGCACATCTTGTTGTTGTGCAACGAGGCACCGAGGACGGCTTTGCGTGTGCGGGGCGCCGGTGACAGTAAACGTCATATTCATAATAAACAATGTAGTAAACATCAGCGTTGCGTTTTTATTCATTGCTCATTCTCCTCTCTCCCTCACTGGTGGTGTATGTGGCTCTGTCAAGGCGCAGCTTTCTCGTTTTTTTTTCTTTTCGGGCTTTGTATTCGCTGCCGCCGCTGCCTTCAAGAAGGAGAGTTATTTCCCAGGAGAAAATGACGGAGGTCACTAATGAGAATCTTCAGATTCTCCTAACCAAGCTTATGACAGACCGCTTCTGCTCTGGCGAGACAAGCGACCTCGACGCATGCATTCAGAACTACGTGCCGCAGCACACGGACAATAGTTGGGTTGACCAAAGCCTGCAGCGCCGCGGCATCAGGAAGTGTCAGCCGTATCAGGAAGTGGCGAGACGTTGCTTGGAGGACGATAAGAAGCACGCGGCGGTGTTTAAGGCGGCGGCAAACGCACCCGTTTGCAAGGATGAGATGCGGGTGCTGAACCAATGCCGACGCGTGCGGGGGCGCGATTGCGAGCAGGAAGCTCTAGAGATGTTGTACTGCGGCATGGTGTACCTTGTGCAGCGACAGAAGGAAAAACACTAGTCCCGGGGGCGGGATGAGCAGGAGGAGAAGGGGGAGAAAGACAAGCTCTCCGTGGATGTCTCTCTCTCTCTCTGTGGTGTGTGCGATATCGACCTCTTCCTACACTCTCGCCGCGTTTTTCTCCGTTGACGCGCCTACTGCGCTGGGGGACGACTGCGCGGCAGGTGCACGTATAATGCATTCCTAAGTGACGAGGCTTTTGTGCGTCCTATTTTAAAATGCTTCCGCCCCTTCTTTTTCTCTCTTTCTCTTTGTTTCCCTCTTTTCGTGTCTGTCTGTGTGTGCGTCTGCTGGGACCGTCGCCTCCTCACCCTCCGTTTACCCATTTACTTGCAATTCTCTTTTCCTTCTACCGTTCCATATATATATATATATATACATGTTCACAGAGTGTGGCGTGGAGGGAGGAGGAGGGGCAGGTCTGCCGCATTTTGTCCCAAAGCGTAGTGAGGCGTGAAACGAAGGAACACAGTCAATCATTGAAAGGACAGCAGTGAAAAGGGGGAAAAAACAAGCAAGCAAACAGAAGGGTGATGAAACAAAAGAGGAGGCAAAAAAGAAAAGAAAAGAAAAGAAAAGAAAAGAGGAAAGGAGAAAAAAAAAACGAGAAATGAGGAGGGAGCATTCGGCAGAAGCGGCAGTGCGGGTCATTACTCCTCAATGGCGGACAGGGAGCCGTGGCCACCCAGCCCACACCCATGGAGAGAGACACCACCCCGTCTTTCTTGCTGTTGGCATCTGCGTGTCGCACGACGTTGTAGCGGTGGATGAGGTGCTCTTCACGTTTTTTGATTTGTCCTTAACGCAATTTATTTATTTGTTTTTCCTCTGTTTGTCTTTGTGTTAGTTTCCATTTGTTTGTTGTAGTTTCTGCGGGCGTTCTCTCTCCTCCCCTCTGCGGTAGAAACGCTTGCGTTTGCTTTTTTTGTGCCGTTGTTGTTGTTTTTTTTTTGCGTTTTTGCTGTGCCATCGTAAAAGAAGGGCCAAGGTGAGTTGCAGAAGAGGTGTCTTGCGCGAGACATACTGCGATCGTGCCGCCGGCACCACCCCCGTCGATACAGTCGCCGCGGTATCCCCTTCATGCCATTCTGCGCCGATTTGACCTTCATGCAGGCTCCAATAACGGCTTGGTACTGCAGCGTATAGGTCCCCCGCCACCGCTATCGTTGCCACTTACATCAACAACGCCGTTACAGGAGCGCATTGAGCTTGTCTTGTTTCCATGTCAACTGGGTGAGCCCACGCAGCCTATTGGGTGGCCACAGGCCTCCTTGTATGAGTGCACAGTGGTTGTGAATGATTTATACGTGACGGAGGCATTCCCGCGTTGTCCTACGCGTAGTGCATCTCATCGCACGCTCGCGGGATTGCCATTGTCACCATACCTTCGTTTGAGAGAGGATGGTAGTATTGATCCGGAAGCTCCGCTTAAGCTGTTTGTCACTAGCAAGGCAAAATGGGCTGCGACGTTCTTGCTGGCGTGGTGCAGGGTGAATGATGTAAGTGCTGTAGTGGCGGATGTCGTTGCAAGGCTTCTGCAGCCGGAAACAACGTGCACCCGGTCGAATGTATCCCCTTTCTCATCACCGTTCAACGAAGATGACAGTGAGGACATGACAGAGTCTGATGTGGATGTTGACATTGGGTGGGTTGATGATGATGGTGTTGATGCAGATAATACTCAGCCGGGTTGTGGTCACACTAAATTGATGAAGCATGATAATAATAAGACGACATTGTCATCGCTGCCTTCTGGGGCAACGATAGTGGCGGATCATGGGAATGACGACGGGGGTCTCATGGATGACGGTGACGCCGTCGTGACGCTGCGCTGCCCGCTGAGCTACCAGCGTATACGGCTTGCGGGAAAAGGAAAACACTGCACCCATCTGGCCTGCTTTGACGTCGTGACGTACCTTGAATCCTCGCTCCACAGCAGCTCATGGAACTGCCCCATCTGCGACGGTGCTGTTTTCGTTCATGACTTGCGCCTTGACAGAACACTGCAGTCCGCCCTGGACGGGTTGGGTGCTGAAGTGGACACCGTCGTCTTGTTCGGCTCAGGCCACCGTGAGTGGCGGGCCGCATGCCAAAGGAAAGAGGGCTCCGTGGGCGCAACCGACAACCGTAACAGCTGCGGGAACAAGAGTACAACAAGAGGAGCCCAACGCCTTGGTGGAGAAGGACAGCAGATGCGGCCGCAGTTGTGTGTTGTTGACGACAGCGAAGAAGAGGGCGCGAGTGGTGGCGACGCGGAGGGTGTCGGCGTGCCGGTGATGGACGGTGACAGGAAACGTGCTCGCTATGAAAAGGCTTAACAGCTTTTTCTCAAATTCTTCCACGCTCACCTGCTGCATTTATTTTAATTTTTTATTTTCGCTGTTGCCCCTCCAGAGATTCCGAAGGGTTCGCAACTGCAGCCCGAGCACGGCGGTGTGCGGCTCACTTGTGTGTTCACGTCCTCGGGTGTGCACCCAACACGTCCCCATGGAAGCTGCATACGTGTGGTCCGCACGTTTCCTGTAGCTGTTGCCTTGCGTGGAGGTTGAACTGGCATTTTTTTTTCTTTTTCTTCTTTCACTCCTTTACTTCTGCGCCGTGCGGGGAAGGGAAGGCTATCGGTGCTTGTGTTTTATTTGTGTGATTTATTGAAAGTTCAAGGCGGCGGGGGGTGCGGATTCAACACGTTGGTTGCGAGAAGAAGGACATAATAAAACACAAACAAACAGAAACGAAAAAATAAAAGTGGCGTTAACCGACCCTCACGAGCAAGTCAGGTACACGCGGACGCAGCATTCACACGACGCACCTGCGCCAGTGCAATATTGATCCAAAACAGGATCAAAGCAGGGGGAGTAATAACATGTTGGAGCCCAGCCAGCCTAATTTTGATTTCTTCTCTCCCTCACCAATGCAACAACAACAACAACAACAACAACAACCCGCGCCGTCACAGGCACAGTTTATGCAGGCACCACATATTTCCACGGGTGGGAACGCAATGCACCCTCCCACAGGATTTGGGTCGAGCGGCGTTTCGCCGCCGCCGCTGCCGCCGCCAGCACCACAGAGCGATGACCGTGTTTACAAGGGTGCCCACCCCTTTGTCGCCTTCTTTCATGTCGCCTTCAAGGCGGGGGCACTTCTCACCTTTATTCTGGGCAGCTTGTTAATCTCCAGCTACGTTACCATATTTGTTGCCACCATCCTCTTCCTGGCGGCGGACTTTTGGGTTACCAAGAATGTGAGTGGACGCCTGCTTGTCTGCCTGCGCTGGTGGAACGAGGTGAAGGAGGACGGCTCGACGTGCTGGATATTTGAAAGTGCCCCCGACGCGGATGCGCGTGTGAACGCCTTTGACAAATGGTTTTTCTGGATCACTACGGGTGGGAACTTTGGTGTGTGGGTGCTTCTGGTGATTTTTAACGTGATGTCCTCGAGGCTGCCGATGACCGTCATTGGGGCTGTGCTGGGCGGGGCGAACTTCATAGGATTTTTAAAGTGTAGCCGAGATGCAAAGAAGCGGGTGACACAGTTTATGCTGGGACAAGCCGCACAGCAGCACAACCTGGTGCGCGAGGCGGCGGGGGTGTTTTAACGTGGAATATATTATGAGCTGGCGGGAGGTGTATCCCTTTGCGTACGTGTGTTTGGGCTTCTTGTAGTAATGCGTCTCAGTATACACATGCGGTGCGTTACAGCAACAAGAAGACGAAGGACGGCCAATAGTAGAGTTGGGAGCAAACAGCAGCGACTGCACATTATTAAGGAATGCACGCTTCAGGAACCGCGGTAGGGATGAGATGCGGGATTATATGACGGACAAAATTTTGCTTTGTCTTTTTGTTTCTTGCTTTCTTTCCTTATTTGTTTCCATTTTCCTTTTTTTTTCTCGTTCCTTTTTTTTTTGGGTTGGTTGGTTAGTTGATTTCTTCTTTTGTTTGCAATTCACTCGGTCTTTTTTTTTTGCCCTTCCTTCCGCTTTTTTTTTTTTGCTTCATGTTTTTCTGGCTCCTTCCTGCGTGAGGATTAGTGTCCGGGTTATCGGCGCAAGATTCTTGCTGTCTTAGCAGGGCGAGGGAAGAAAGGAGGAAAAAAGGGGGGCCGCAGCAGCAGCGGCGGCGGCAGCAATAATCACAAGAGCAACAACAACAAAAAAGGGAAGCGCAAAAGGAAGGAAAGTAACGGGAAGAGATGATTAGACGGCGTTTTGTTTGCGCCTCTCGTGCGGCCTCGACCAGTGTGGTGTTCTCGGCGCAGCGAGAACAGGGTGGCCTGCACACTTTTATTAGGGATGCGAAGCCCTCCAGCTTCACCGCGCCGCGTCAGGTGAGTAACGCTGACAACGCCCACACGTTGTCGTCCTCGGCGTCCACCGACTGGGCGACGCAAATGCAGCGGGAGCTCTTTGGGGAAACCGACCCCCTTGGAGGCCAGGCACACAAGGACTACTACCGGGACCCTGCTTGTGGTTACAGTCCGCAGTATGCACCACGCAATTTTTCCGAAGGTGGCGCCATTTCCTACCATCACGCGCAAAGTCCGCGGGAGTATGCGGAAGCCACGCATCATCGCGGCTGGCTTGACCACGACGTTTCACGGATGCAAGAAAATTTTAGCGAGCAGAGGGCGTGGCTGCGCGGGATGGAAAGCCCCACTGAGCGCGAGGAGTTGTCACGACGTTGCACCGCTGAGCACCATGTGGCTGACACCCTTGTAGAGAATCAATCCCTCCACCTCGTGAACCAGGTGCACAACAGCACGAGCACCAGCGGGAGTGCACTCCGTCAACAAACGGTGGTGGACCGGTATCAATTAGCGGGGCAGCAGGCCCCCCTGGCTGCTTCAGATGGCATGGGCCGCGAGGAACTGGCCAACGCCTACAGAGTGGCCACTGAAACAGCACGCGATGATTGGATTGCGGAGAATCTTCGCATTGTTCATGGCTTAAGAGAAAAGGAGAAGTACGACTTTACCGTCCTGCAGCGCAGTACTCGCATTCCTTTTCAGGGTTATGATATGGACCGTTTTCTCGCTCAACAAAAGGGAACTCCGTACGGGGCCCAGCAGTTGCCTCCAAACATTGCCAGTTCAGACATGGACGAGGCACAGCGAGCGCTGCGAGATCCGACGACGACTGTGCCATCGTTTGAGGCACTCTCTCAGAAGGCCTTTGCGAGGAATACGGTTCGTGATCACCCCACGACGGGCGAGGAACTAACGGAGGAAATTGTCGACTCCATGCGAACCACGCGGGAGGTATTCAAGCGGCAGCGTGAACAAGAGCGAGCGCAACGATTTGGCCTGGGTCGACAGGGTGCCCTGGTGCAAGACGGTGGTCCCGACAAACGCACACTGAAGAAGCACACAAACGACGAGCGCATCTTGGATGCCATGTTTTTTCGTTCCAACGCCTACCGTAAGACACCGACAGATGAGCACTGGAATCCGTACTTGCGACAAGACACTACACACGGTGTCGCCCACCTGCTTAACAACAAGTTTGATATTTTGCGACGAGAGGATCGTCTTGCAAAAGGTGAACAGGACCTCACGGAACGCAGTGTGATGCACTTGGGTGTTCCTATTCAGCAAACCATTGACGAGTTTGTGCTTCGTCACTACAACGCCCGTGGGGAGCGGCCGTTAGACTACTTTAAGCCCTTTCCAGGCTTTCGAGACTTGCGGTTGAACCGCATGTACCGCGACGTGGAAGGGTTTTCTCTCATGAAGCAACGTCCCGAGTTTCTTGAGTGGGAACTCTTTACACGATACCGCGCTCACCATCAGCAGCGACGTCGGATAGCTCTTCTTCACGGTCTAGAGCCTGTTACGAATGAAACGGCCCAAGAGCGGGATGCACGGCGTCGGAAATTAGATGAACTCTGTGAGTGTACGCCGTTCGATGAAAGAGAGCTGCACCTAAACGATGATGAGATGAAGGTAGGCGTTGAAGCGTTGCGCAGTTGGTTTGGTGTGTATATGCTTCCCTCTCCCACCGTGGTGGAGGCGGTTGTGGGGGCTACAACCTCCTTAAATCTGCACTTGTTCCCTCTTCAGGATGAGATGGGCACGGCAGACACCCGTGAGAATGTGTTGAGTGCTCGTTACTTTAACCGGATGCTCCTCATGGAGGCCTTTCAGTACCGTGTTGGCCGGGCGTTTATGGGTAGCGTGAATGGGAAGGCGCCAGAGCCTGTTGTACAGTACATGCAGCCACCCGAAGTCCTGCGCCATTTTACCGCGGAGGAGCGGGCCATGTATGAGCAATACGTGAAGGAGCAAACATCACAGCAGCTTGGTGATTGGGCAACCACGATGCGTCGCCGTCGCTGGATACCGGATCGGCAACAGTACGGCCACGTCGTGGCGCAAAGCTACGAGGTGCCTGTGGTGGACCTTGAACACACTGACACCGCCGCCGTCTTGACAGTCTCAGCGAAGGCATTTGAAAACGAGTTGCTGGCAGCGAGGGGAAACCCCAGCCACATCATCATGGTGGAGGGACAACCCTACAAGCTACGCCCCAATTCGGGACGCAACGTGGTGCCGCTATCTGTAAGGCTGGATTCCGGGGATATGTTGGATATGACCGATGAGGTATTCGAGCAGTATGAGCTGGAGGTGTTGCCGCGGAACGCCAATCACGCGCTTAACTACGGCATTGGCAACTATGCATACAACCGCGGGAATTACGTGGAGACGCAGGATGCAATTTGGGAGGCGCAAACCGCGTCTGGTGAAGAAGGTTGGTCACCAGCAACACATGCAGACGGTTTGCGGGCTGGTTTACCAGTTCGAGCTCGCCGCCACCTGGGCGTGAACTCGGATGGGTCACGCATTGTTAGTGTCCCACAACGTGCGATGATTGTTGCGTACGACCGACAACCCTTCTTTAATCCGGAGCCACGGCTCGTACGCGTTGCGTTCCAGTCCGATGGCGTCGTGGAGGAGGTGCCGTTGTCGGATATCATGATTTGGCAAAGGCGCTACCACGGACCTGAGCGCACCGTTGGCGACGAGTCGCGGCGGTACAGTCCGATCAGTCTGCGGCGCTACGTCGACGTCTCCGACCCGTTTAACGAGAAGACATCTAAGGAGGAGCATTTCCTCGACAAGTACGAAGTTGCACGCACATCTGAGGCGGTCGCCAGCAAGTACCGTACCACGAAGCAGATTACGGAGATTGATCAGTGGACGCGGTTTGACATGTGCCGAGCCGATAATTTCCGCCCGCTAAGTATCTCGCACCGGCGTGATTATATTCGCCTTGGCTACATGCATCGCTACACCCCGTGGGAGTGGATTGCGCTGCAGGAGGCCGATCAGCCCATGCTCGCGGAGCAAATCCGACAGGATAATATTGGCCCGAGTTACTTCTTTTCACTGAATCGGTACTGGCGGTATAAGGCGCGACCACACGGTTACATTCGTCACTTTGACAACGAGATTCGCGATTTGTTCCAATTCATTGACGGTGTGACGCCGTGGAAGCAGGCACAGAAGATTCGCACGTACTGGGAAGTGCGTGCGCATCATCCTATGCCACAATTTAACCGTCCTGAGGTGGCGATGCACCGCAACACGGTTGGTCTGCTGCCCGCGCACCTGTGGGAGACAGACAAGAAGACGGGCAAGGTGAAGATGGTGAAGGACTCTGTCAGGGATTATCAGACAAAGACGCCACTGCCGACGTGGGTGCAGCTTTAAGCGGACCCGCGTGCCCATGCATGTTGCTGCAATACGTAGTTGGCCTTGTGTTGCCGTGTGTTTGCTGGTGGAGACGGAGAGGCTCGTGTGGTTGCGGTACTGGAAAAAAAAAAGGGGGAGGGGAAAAAAACAGGTCGTTGCTGGCCGTTGCACGGGAGGAAAGAGTTATTGCGCCATTTTATTTCCTTGAAATGATGGGCAAGCAGCACTGCACAGACAGACAGGCAGACGGAGAGCGAGTGAGCGAGCGTGACGGCCCCCGTTATTTGTCAGGGATATCGTTTATAAAAAAACATATCCAACGCAGAACATAAATATATATATATATATTGCCTTTTTTGCTTATTGTTATTATTTTCTTTCCTTCTTTTCTCCCGGCTGTCATTTTTCGTTGTTGTTGATGTTTTTTTGTTGTTTTGTGGTTAAAACTACCTGAGTTTCCCTAGGCGGGCTTGCCAGGAAGCCAATGGCGGGTGCGGGGGATGCTGCCCCGTCCTCCTCGACGTTTAAGTTTCTCATCACGACAGATAACCACCTTGGATACCAGGAGCGGGACCCGCGCCGGGGGAATGACAGCTTCACCACCTTTGAGGAGTGTCTTCGCGCTGCACGCGTGGAGCACGACGTCGACGCCATTCTTCTAGGCGGGGACCTCTTTCACGACAATAAGCCCAGCCTTGGCTGCCTCGCTCGCACCACGTCGCTGCTGCGGACGTACGTGCTTGGGGACAAGCCGATTGCCTTCTCGCTGCTGAGCGACCCTAAGCGCAACTTCCCAACACACCCCGTTCCACTTGCGAATTTTCAGGATCCCAACATTAACGTTGCCACGCCGATTTTTACGATTCATGGGAATCACGACGACCCCGTCGGAGGCACCTCTTCCATTGACATTTTGGCAGCGAATGGTCTCGTGAACTACTTTGGGCAGGTCTCATCCTTAGACGACATTGTTGTGGAGCCAGTGTTGCTCAAGAAGGGTCACACCTACGTCGCCTTGTACGGGCTTGGAAATGTTCGCGATGAGCGGCTGCATCGCTGCTTTCGCATGAAAAAACTTCGTTTTGTGCATCCCAAGCCGGTCGCGGGACGCCGTTGGTTTAAGATTTTCTTGCTTCATCAAAACCGCGGCGTTCGTGGTGGGCCAGGTGAGAAAGCTGGCATTTTTGAAAGTATGCTGGCTGACTTAGGTCTGGACGTAGTTATCTGGGGGAACGAGCACGAGCAGCAAATGGTTCCCACTCCCTCTGAGGGGTTTGACATTATTCAGCCTGGGAGCACCATTCTGACGTCGCTCTCTGGGCAAGAGTGCAACCCGAAACAGTACGGCGTTTTGGAGGTGCGTGATGGATCCTATCGCCTGACACCGTTTCTGCTGCGTAGTGTGCGTCCTGTGGTGCGACGCACGGTGGAACTCTGGCGAGAAAACCCCGCCGGACGCACCTTAGACGCCGTGGAGGATTTTCTGCGCCGTGTTATTGAAGAGATGATAGAGGAGGCGGAGGTGCAGGTCAGCCGCATCCCAGATGACGTGCTCGCGTTTCATCCAAGCATCAAGTTTCCACTCATGCGGCTTTCCGTGGACTTTACCGATCCAGAGTCCACAAACTTCCCCCAGCCGAACATCAATCGCTTTGGGCAACAGTACATGGATGTAGTGGTGAACCCTGGCGACTTGCTTCGGCCGATAAAACCAAAAACTGTTATTCGTCGACTGCCTCCAGCACCCGGGGGAGATGGGATGGCAACGGTGGTGCCAGTGCCACTACTCAACACGTCGGATATCCGCACAAAGGTGGCGGAGGTGTTTAACGCGAATGCGCGGGACGCCTGTTCGCTGCTGTCAGAGCCCGAGGTGTCGGCCGCGGTGTACGCCTTTGCCGAGAAGGGTGAGCGCGATGCCATTGACGAACGCATCAACGAGCTACTGAACAAGTGTCAGAAGTCTGTTTGGAAGGCAATGGGAAGAGGCGATGCGGAGGGTATTTTGGTGCCAGATAGTATTTACTCCGAGGTGGTTCGATACAAACAGGACATAAACAAACGCTATGCGGAGGCTACTCGCGCCGGTGAGGCATTACAGCAAGGAGGGGAACGACAGTTGCATCAATCTCATGAGCACGCAAACGATGCCCAGACGGGCCGTATGAGTTCGGGCTTCACGATAGTTGACGCCTTTGACGGGAGTGGGGTGCCGCTAGGAGCCCCATCGTCCTCCACTGCTCTCACTCTTAATACCGCGGCACCCTGTGCACTACGCAGGGTCTTCGATGCAGACGATGACGCGCTTCCAGACACTGGACTTGAGCGTGGGACGCTAAGCGCATTGATCGCCAATGCAGTGAAGCAGGACCAGGGGGTGGGGGCTGCTGCTGCCCCTTGCACAGTTGCAGTTGTGGAAAACGGCCGTGCAAAACGCCAACGCGAGGAGGTGGAGGTGGTTGTCGTCGACGACGATGCGACAGAGGTGCATACTGTTCAGCCTTTAGCCAAACGGGGAGCCCGACGAATGGCCGCTGGTACTGCCGCAGCGCCTGCCCCCAAGCCGGCACGCGGTAAACGAGGCAAGCAGGCGGCGGCATCATCACTCATTCCCACACCAACACTGCAATTGACGCACCAGCCTGTTCCTGGGGAATTCGCGTCGCAGACACTCGCAGCAAAACCGGAGACGTCGAAGGGCGCCCTCAATTACCTTTCCAAGTGGGCGAGTTCGAATTGACATCTGGAATGGATGCATGAGTGGGGAAAAAAGAAACATAAAGGTGTCAGGAAACGTAAAGGAAAGAGAGGATACACACAGAAAGGGGTGACTAAGAGAGGGACAAGGCAAAAACAAAAAAAATAAATAAGAAACAGGCGGCTAGCGAGTCGGAGCGGTGACGCTCAAGCCCCTTTTTTCACATTGGCCCCAAGTTTTGTTTGCCACGGAGAGGACAGGAAAGCCTTGCGTTTTACTCCCAGGTATATATATATATATGGGCAGCCCGCACTCTGGGAGCGACATGAATGTGTCTATCGTCTTTGTGTGTGTGTATGTATGCCAGAGTGTGTGGTTTCCATATTTATTTGCTCGCTTTTATCTTTTTGCTGTCCTTGTCACTGATGGCGATGCTCACTTGTTGCCATGGCCTTTTCCATGGCCAGGGGGGGGGGCGACAACGCATCGCAGATGCTGGTGGCCAGGTTGGGCGCAGGGAAAAGTTGCTTGTGCTACACTGCTGTGCCGGTGCCTCGCTGCTTTTTTTTACGCCGGCCTGGATGAGTCACATGTGCGGCGACCGCGGCGGGCCGGTGCGACGTTTAACAAGCCTCGTGGCCGTGATGCGTTGTCGTTGGCCTTTGAACGGCGCGTGCGTGTTCTGCCGCTTCTTGAGGTAGGGGAGCTGTACGCGCCGCCGGCAGCCTCGTCAAAGTCCACGGGCAGTGGCGACTCGGGTGCGGCAGGGAGACCGCTGCGAGTGCTCGTTGTCGAGTTGCTCTCACTGGGTGACGTGGAGGCCGTGGTGCCGTACCCGGCCCTGTACCCAACGTATTATGCGGGGTGGACGGATGAGCACCAATCACACCCTCCGGCGAAGACGCATGGGACGTCGCCGTTTCTTGTCCGCGAGAGTGGGCGCACGCTGCAGCCAATCAACAAAATGCAACTGCGGCAAAACGGTGACACCTCGCTCCTGCGTGGGTTCTTTACAAGACGGAGTGCGAGTCACGACCCCACAATGTATGCGGTGGCCCTCTGCATAGATCCGTTTCTGGACTTGGGACGGTTTAGACGGGAAGAGGCGCAGGTGGAGTTGATCTGTGGCTACCGCAACGTTCTCTATGAGGCTTCAGAACTGCCTGGCGTCCCAGCGGACGTCGTACGCATTCCCGCCCTCTCGTGTGACACATGCGGGGAAAACCTGCGCCATGAGCTGGGCAAGCTGAGCCAGCAAGCCCTCATCAAGGGGTTTCACCGCATTAGTAACGAGGCGAAGGAAAGTCTTATTTTGAATCCGCACTTCCGCGTTGAGATGTATGTTTCACCACGGTTGCTCGAACAGTTTGAGCGTACCTTTTTGGAGGACGCCTGGGAGGCTCCCGAGTCCACGATAAACCTCGGACGCACCGCTCTGTACCCCGGCCTGCCACACTCCCGCGAGCACTGCCGGAGGCTGAGGGCTGGATTGGCAAACACTTCGAATTGGTTGAGGCAATTGAGACGGAGGGACGGAGTTTGATGCGTGGGACGCAGCGTGCGTTGGATGGGACTGTCATTACACTACGGGAGGTTCTCACGGATATTCGTGTGTTTGGTCGTGAGCAGGAACAGCAGGTGATGCTCGAAGGTGAGCAGAAAACCGCAGTGCAGGAGGGGTACGACGCAACCAGCGGTGGTTGCCCTGTAGCGATCGCCCCGCTGCGGCCAGGCATCAATCAGTTGTAAAGAATCTCCGTTATGTCGAAATAGGTGCCTGCCGCCGCATGAAACAACACTAAACAACAACAACAGCAGCAGCAGTAGCGGCGATGATCGGGGAGTGAGTGAGGAAGAGAGAGAAAGAGAGAAATAGACGTTTTGCATGTGCATTTCCGTGTGCGTGTATACATAAAAGCTTGCATGAGTGCTGTCGTGTTGGCGTCTGCAGTGCCGTTGCTGGCTTCTCTTTGGACGCCGCTGTGCTGGGGCCGTGCTTCGATGTATCGCCTTCATATTTTTATTTTATTTTCTTATTCCCTTACCTTTCGCAGGCTGTCGGTACACACGGACAGAACACAAGGCAATCAAAGCAAGCAGCGAGGAACGGGAACTTTCTAAAGAGTGCTAATAGAGCAGCAAGTACAACAAAAACAAAAAACAAAACGAAACGAAAGGAAAGTAAGCAAAAAAAAAAAACTGAAGGACAATAGATAAAAGGGGACGAGGCCAGCAAAACACCAACATCACCGACACAGAGAGAGACGGAAGGCATACTGACGTTGCTGCCATTCTGGAGGCTTAGCTCTTTGACAGCCAAAACAAGGGGAACAAAGGAAGAGTACGCATTGGCGCGCGTAAAACACCCGTAAGAAGGAAATATGTCAACTACAGGCCCTGTGAATCTTCCATTTGGGGCGCTGCAGGGCTACGCCCCTGGCGGTATTCCTGCTTACAGTAACAAGCATGACGGTTACTTCTCCGGGGAACGCAGCATTGATGGAAAACTTTTCTGTGGTTTTAAGTATCAGTGTGTGGAGTTTGCACGTCGTTGGCTGTTCGAACGCAAGTCTCTTGTGCTTCCTGACGTCAGATGGGCAGTGCACATTTTTGATCTGAAGGAGGTTCCCGACGCCCGCACGGCACGTCCTGTGCGTTGCGTGGCAGTGCACAACAGCACCAAGACGAAGCCAGTGGCCGACGCCCTTCTTATTTACCCTTCCGCAGACGGCAGCCCTGCGGGGCACGTGGCAGCGATCACGGAGGTTGGGGACAACTGGGTACGCATTGCAGACCAAAACCACAGGTTTTTCAAGTGGGAGGGTGATTACGCGGCGCAACTGGCGTTGAACCACGAGAATGGCGTCTGGACAATTTTGGATCACACTGAAGATGGTGTGCTGAACCCGCTTGGATGGGTGACGTTTCCTGACACGCCGGATCGTGACCCAAGCGTGCCGTTGGTCTTGCATGAGTCGCTGTACTTCAAACCGCCAGAGAAGCTCTCGCTGCGCCGTGTGACATTTACGCCAAAGCCCCACGAAGATATTTGGCTGGATCTCACAAATGAGGCGGAAGCGTGCTTTGTCAAAACCTACGGTATGTGCGTTAGCCGACGCGGGGAGTCTACGGCAAGTTATTATGAAATGAACACCGAACTTTACTTGACTTGCACACGATACGGCAATCAACTCCATGAATTTTTTTTGGAGGCCACTGAATTTGTTCTTGCAAATGACGAACAACTCAAACTGTTTGGGATTCCAGAGGAGTATTGGCCGCGTATTCGACATTCATGGAAGACACAGCCACACGCCATCACGGGGCGTTTTGACTTTGCGTTTGATGAAGATACACAACAATTTAAGTGCTTTGAGTACAACGCCGACAGTGCATCGACGCTGCTGGAATGTGGTACCATTCAGGAGAAGTGGGCGAAATTGGTTGGTATCGATGATGACACCACGTACAGCTCCGGGAGTTACATTTCCTCACGATTGCACATGGCGTGGGAGATGGCAGAAGTGAAAGGACGTGTTCACTTCCTTGTTGACGACGATGGGGAGGAACAGTACACTGCCTTGTACGTCTTGCAGCATGCCCGCGCGGCAGGCTTAGACGCAAAACTATGTGTCCTTTTTGATGAATTCCGTTTTGATGAGAATGGCATTGTTGTGGATGCCGATGGTGTAGCCGTCACAACTGTGTGGAAGACGTGGATGTGGGAGACCGCCATTGCGGATCAGCGCGAGGCACGGATGCAGCGTGGAAAGGATTGGCGGCCGACCCCACAGGACAAGGTTCGCCTCTCTGACATCATCCTAGGACCAAACTGGGATGTGCGTGTGTTTGAGCCCATGTGGAAACTCATCCCTAGCAACAAGGCCATTTTGCCCATTATCTACAACAAACACCCCGACCATCCCGCCATGCTGCGGGCCAGCTATGAGCTCACAGATGAGCTGCGGCGTACCGGATACGCGAAGAAGCCCATAGTTGGTCGTGTTGGTCGCAACGTGAGCATTGTGGAGCCATCTGGCGAGGTTACCGCGGAATCGGATGGAAACTTTGCAGACCGCGGGGTGGTCTACCAGGAGCTTTTCCGTCTGCCGAAGAGGGATGACTACTATGCCATTCTTGGCGGCTGGATTATTGGCGACGTCTACTGCGGCACGAACGTTCGCGAAGATAAGACGATTATCACTGGCCTCTTATCACCGGTAAGCGCCTTACGTGTGTTGTCTAACCCTCCGCGATGCCCGCTGACACACGAGGATCTTGATGATGCGGAAAAGGCGGCCTCCGCCTCCGCTTGAGGCGGTTCGAGGGGGATCGACATTTCTATGGGGCGCTGCCAGCGAGGGAGGGAGGGGGGAGAAGTAAAGGGAGGTGTCGTACACTCCCCCTCCGCCACGCCACGCCGTGAGCAAAAGGTGCAAAGTGGAATGAGGGCCTTTTAGAAGTGAGCTTTGTGAAATATTGCAGTTATTAAAATGAACGACAGTGCGGTGTGTCCATGCACATACGCGTGTTACCACGAGACTGTATATGTTCCCTATTCTTCGCCATCAGCCCACGCACACACACACGCAGGTATGGCGGGTGGGCGAGAGGGTGAGGGTGAGGTTTTCAAAAGGGAGGGAAGTGGGAGGTATTGAAAAAAAAAATATGCGCCATTAAACAGGGAAGCCCCGCAGCTAACTCTACAGGCGAGAATTACAGCCGCATCAGTCTGGCATCGCTGGACAAGGTAAATGCAGGATAAATGCGGCATCGTATATGCTGCTTTAACTGTGTTTAAGTCTTTGCTAGTCGTTTTTTTTTTTTTTGTTTTTTGGGGGGAGGGAAACAGGAAGAGCCGATGGAACTGGGGCGATTTTTGGCTTTCATCCTCCGCACTGGTACACCATTGTAGGGCAAACGCGTGGCCCACGGTAACGCAGGGGGACCAACAGAAAAGTAAGGGGGAAAAAATAACGAGGTTCATGGGCTGGTTAGAAGGATGAGTAATTTTTATGACTGCATGAAGGAGAGAGGGAGAGAGAGAGAGAGAGGTGAAATGTCGCTCATAGCCGTATGTTTTTTTTTTTTTTTATTCCTTCCTTGTTTGCTTACTTTTAACAGACTCTCTTCCCTTTTTTTTTCCTTTTTGCTCTTTCTCACACACGCAAACTTCTTCTGTTGGTTTTGATCTTTATCGGACTGATGCAATACTCGTTGGCTCAAGTACGGCGACAGCATCATCGAAGAGAGGGGCGACGGGAAAACAACAAAAGACAACAACAACGCGAGTTCCTCTGTACACGGAAAAGAAACGGGAATAGGGAGGCCCGTGCAGTGTCATTGGCCCACACACGCACACACACACACACACATTGACGGGGGAATGCTGCAGAGTAGTGCTCCCCATCATGTAGAGACCCTCTTTTCGCAGTTGGAGTGCAGCGCGCGAAATCCTATGCGTCTCTACCGTCAACTCCTGCAACGCGCCGCTGCGCAGCTGGACGTTGTGACAGCTGACGCGGGTACGCTACGCGCGATGGTTCACCTCTTGCAAAAGCAACAGTGTGAGCAGAAGAAGTACATCTTCCACCTTGAGACGCAGCTTGAGCAGGCGCGGGCGAGACGTGAACGGCATGATACCACATGCAGCATGCCATGGAGCACGAAGAACGGACGCACCGGTACAACAATGTCTTCATTATCATCATCGTTATATGGTGCCTGCGTGGGGAAGCAGCAATACCAATGCCGGAAGCCGCAGCAGCAGTGGCGAAGAGGAGGTGATGATAGTTGTCTCTCCACGTCGCGGGAATTGCGGGGCATTGGGAGTAGGCGTTTCACCTCACACTCGGCTCTCGAACTTGCTGGCGATTCATGCGAAGGCTCGTCACCACCACGACACCCATCGCCATTGGCAATGCCGGCGTCGCTGCCGCCATCGCAAGAATCTGATGGGAGTAATGCCTGGGGAGCGGTGGATGCGGGTGATGAGGCACTGCTGGAATGGGTACTGGGCGACGTTTTGCTGCTCTTACTTGACGATTCTGCTTCGGCGAGTAGCGCAGCCTATGGAGCGGCAGCTGCGCCGTCCCGCCCATTAGCGGGAAACGTCAAAACAATGTACGACACAGTCATGACATCGATTCGGATTTTGAAGGAGCGTGAAGGCGCATTGAAAAGTCGCCTACAGGAGTTGGAAGAGACTGTGCGTCAAGAGATGCAGCGGCGGCGACTAGAACTCCTTCGTGCAGAAGAGCAGGACATCACGTTTGGAGTCCCCCCGGACCGACGTGATCCGCACAATATTAGTGATAGATACGAATATCATCATCCTCTTGGTCAGGATGTGGTTGTCAAAGCAGCTGCAGCTTCAGCTGACGTGTCGGAAGTTACGAACGCGCACCACACCGTGACGTATTCCACCACTTCCGGCTCCCCGTCTTCTGTGGACCCCGTCGATTCCAACAGCGGCACTATGCGTATCAGAAAGACAGCGATGGATTCATCATCAGCTTCTGAAATGATTCAAGATAAAATGCACGGCATGCTTCTTCACACGGACGACGGTGATGACGATGCCGACGATGTGAGTCTGAACGATCTGGCTGGTGAGACGGAGCTCTTGGAGTACCTCACGTGGAAAGACTCGTTTCTTGAACAACTCCTTCCCTCAATGTAGTTTGGCGTATTACGTACGGGCAGTGTTATATACACACGTACATGTGGCGTCAGCAACATGTTATAGGAGGGGTGATGAAAAGGAGTTGTGGGTGTGTGTATATGCAGCGGACACACGGTTACCCAACGTGCATATTGTTTTGTCTTGTCGGCAGGTTTTTTTTTTACCTGTTTTTTCTGTTTGAGCGGTGGTGGTGTTGAAGGAGCCGGCGAGGGCTGCAGGAAGGGCTCATAATTACTTTTTTTTTGTCTTTCTTTTATTGTTGTTCTTTTCTGTGATATCCTCTTCCGGGTCTCACGCCGTCCGCAAACACGACGTAGGAGGGATTGGGGGAGGGGAACCGACGACACACACACATACACGAAGAAAAAAAAAAGAGGGCGTGGCAATGGCGGCGGCGGCGGCGGCGGCGACTATTTTTCAGCGCAACAAGCGCATCTATGTACAGGAGGAGGACAAGCTAGAGGGCGTTGTCTCCGATGAGACTTTCCAGCAGAAGTTCCACCAGTGGCTGGACGCGACCATCGCCCAGCTGGATCTGCAGTTTGAGTTGTGCGAGCAGCAGCTGTCGGAGCTGCAGCAGAACGTGGCGGTGGAGTCCGGAAGCTACTGGTGCAGCAAGACAATTATTCAGCACTGCAACCTACACATGAGTGAGAAACGGCTCATCGTTGCGGGGATTGATATGGAGGAACACGCGACGCTTCCTGACCTGGTCAACCTCATCTCCTCTCTGCAGCAGCTCAAGGGTCAGGCATTTATATCCCCCAAGCAGCGGCGCTTCATTGAGGAATGTGAGTCCGAGCTGAAGAAAGTCGTGTTTGAGTCCCGAGAGTTGGTCTTTATCACCAACGCGCTTAAGACAAAACTGCGCGACGACGGCAACACTCGCGGCGTCTTTGGGGATCTCACAGAGTTTCAAAACACCATTGAGGATCTCTCACCCGACATTGACCAGTGCGAGCAGCTGTTGGAGGCGAGCATCGCCAACGGCGAGATGGGGCTCGCGGAGGACATCTCACTGCGCCAGCTGGAGATCTACGAGCGAATCCTCACCCTCATTACGGACCAATATCCCATTATCACGAACTACTACACTGAGTCGCGCGACAGCGATCGGCGTCGTCGGTGGGCCATTTTCCGCATGGCAGACAAAGACATCACCGCCGTTATTGAGGGGAAGTACCGCCAAATAGAAGCCTGCGAGGAGGATCTCATGAAGATCAAGGAACAGATTGAGAACTACAGCAATGACGACTCTCACCAACGCAAGCGGTATGAGGCGGATCGCGACCTCTCCGATGAATTTTTGCAGAAAAACAAGAATAAACAGCAGGGTGTGTGGAATCGCGTCTATGAATTGTACGAGGAACTGCGACGGTGTCAGATGGAGTTGACCAAACTTGCCCGTCAGCGTCGCAAGGAGATCGACCGCCGGCTTCAGATGGAGGAACACGAGGCTGGTCGACGCAGCGGACATGAGGCGTTTCTCAGGGCCGCTGCGGAGCATGCACAGAGGCTTCAGGGTATGATCAACAACTCCTTGGCGGCGAAGGAACTTGCGACGGCGCTCAACAACTTTGTCTTGGATGGGTGCGACAGCATCACAAGCAAGTACGACAAGCAGCAGAATGCACTAAGTGAGATGCTGCGGCTTGTGCAGCAGCATCATTTTAAGCGCTTCTCCGACTACTACATTGCTGCAAGTCGCTACCTATACCGCAAGGAGCGGCGGCTGGAGCAGCTTGAGAAGGAGATTGAGAGTAACGAGATGAAGAAGGAGATGCTCTCAGACCGACTTGACACCAACGCCAAACGCTACGCCGACTTAAATAATGATCTTTTGCTTAAAAGACGTGAGGCGTCACAGGAGGTGCTGTACATTCGACACAAGTTGGAAAAGGCAGACAGGGCGATTGAGCCCACGCTACGTTCCTTGCAGTTTGCCGGAGTGGGGTACGTTCACCCACGCGACATTGTAGAGAAGGTCAACCTGAATCGCTGCAGCACAATTCTTGACTACCGTGAATTTATGACCCCCTCCATTTCCTACGACGAGAAGGTGCGCATGGAGGAGTTGATAACGTTAGCCGAACTTCGCTCCTCCATTGACGTTGAATCTAAAGAGCGTTCCATCCAGAAACGCCTACGACTCCCTTCGATTACAAAGAAGGATTACACTGTGCTTCAGAAACGCGTGAACGCCCTATTAGAGAAACGATTTGACGAAGTAGAATACATCGCGCCGGTTGCAGCAACCGCGTCGCGGGGTACTGCCTTCTCTGATTCTGCAGGGACAAAAGACACGGCAAGACAGTCTATGACGGGGAACATGGCATCTGAGGCACCAGGAAATGCGTCGCCTGCGGCTGCCGTGGACATGGTCGGGGGTACAACCACCATTGATGCTTCGCTACGACACTCGCGGATGGAGGGAACAGTAATGAGGGCCTTGTACCCCTACAAGGCCCGCGCCCCTGACGAGTTAACATTTGAAGAGGGTGATTTGATTGTATGCGTGAACCGAGACCAGGAGGAGGGCTGGTTTAAGGGTGTGTGCAATCAACGCACAGGGCTGTTTCCTATCAAGTACGCGGTCCCAGTGGATGAGTTTTGTTGACGGTGTGGGGGCGATGGTTGGGGGAGGCGTGTGCGTGCGTGTAGTTCATTGAATGCGGTGGACTTTGGGGGCCTGACGCGGAGAAGTGAATGAACGGAAGAACCTCCTTTCATTTCCGTACTTTTTTTTTTTTTGCATGTGGACGTTTTTTTTTTTTTCCATTCTCCTCGCTCGCGTTGGCACACATCTTTTCATGGAGTGAAGCTGCAAAGGCGCTTCGACTTCACTCCCGTCCGTGCCAGGACACACCTGCGCCAACGGGGATTGAGGATACCACTTTTGAGGAGTTGGCGGGGGCGATGCGGGTGTCTTTGCGCGTGTCTGCTGCGTGCCCAATGGCTTTTCTCACTGCAATGGTGAGGCGAGATGAATTGGGGCGCGCGGCACACTCTGCATGCCAAGGAAGGAGTGAAGTGACGACCGGGTGCCGAAGCCAACGGCAATCGAACAGAAAAGCAAAAAAAAACGAATAATGAAGGACATCCACCTTTACTTATTGAGGTACAGGCACACACACGCAAATACCTCCTTTTCCCATTGAAACACAAATGGAAAAAAAAAAAAGAAGAAGCGGAGGTTCAAAACAAAACAAACAGGCACCCGGAGAATGAAGAAAAAATGATGAATGTGGTTTATAGTATAAATGCCAGTCTGTCTATTGATGCTGATATCTATATGCAAGGATCGATGGGTAGGGTTACGGAAGAATGTACATAATAGTGGCGCTTGCGTGCCTCCTACCGCGTAGGTGAGTTACAACGGTTTGAGTGGGGAGGTGAAAAATGGTTCCACGCCATTTTGTGTGGTGGGTACAGTCACGTGATTTTTTGTGTATCTGCCCCTGTGTCTTATGGATGGGTGCAGGGAGGGAAGAGGCGTGAGAGAAACCAAACAAAATAAAAATAATTATGGTGCATGTAGTTTAGAAGAGGAAGCACACAAAACAAAACAAGATGTTTTCCTTTTGGTGTGATGCAATGCACACTGAAGCCACTACACCGGTGTATAATGTGATCTCTGCGTGAACGTTTGTGATACCTTTATTATTATTATTATTATCTTTTTTTTTTTCGTGAGGGCAACAATACATAGAAGCGGGTAGACGTCAGTTCCTCCGTTTTGTTTCTCTCCCATCGCGTTTGCCACACCCCTCTGTCTCTTCGACACTCGAGGGCCGGGGTTCAACGCAGCAAGAGGTGCTGTTTACACATGTTTATCCATCTTTCTATCGCGGGGTGGGAGTGCCAGTGATGGTGTAACACCCCCCGAAATCACTGGCCCCGCTGAAATGGTTGGTGGCGAATGCGTCTCTGTTGCCCATTGCTTTCGAGGGAACTGAGGCAGCGCCTTATTGATGAGGCGTCTGGGCGACATGTACTACACGCAGTGTTTTATGTGCCGGGTCCTTTGCGGGGGAGTGTTTCTTTCACCTCTTCTATTTACTCGGCTCGTGGTTGGCTGGTTGGTGCCGCAAGGAGGTGCTCTGCATGTGAGTCATCTCTTTAGTGGCGTTCCGAGCTTCGGCGGCGTACCAGCCGTATCACACGCATCCGCTTAGCACCGTGTACAAAGTGCTGTGCTCCAGGGAGGCGACGGTGCGATTTCGACCGACGGATTTTGCTTTTGCTGTGGGATACGATGGGGCTGAAGACGAAGTCGAACCGCTTCCGCTACACCGAAGCCAAATCGCCGCCATTGCCCAACAGAGAGGCCAAGGGAATGAGGGACGCGTCAACGGGAGACGCCCTGAGACGGTCGCCACGGCTGCCGCTACACGCCGAGAAGCATGCGAGCATCTCACGTAAGGGCTGGACGTCAGTGGGGGGAAATTCAGTTTTGTTTTTTTTTGTCGCAACAGTTTGCTGCCTTTTTCCCAACAGTGAGGGTTAGGGATCTTGCAAATACCATTCATGCTAGGAGAGCGAGTGAGAGCGGGGGCGTTGATGCCGGTGTGTTGAGGCCGACCGTGTGTGACTGCCCCTTCGGGCGGTTGTTGTTGTGGTAGTCACACTATTTTTGTGGTCTCCATTTTCTCTTCGAGCGGTGCTGGAGGAATCTTACTTGTTTTGTCTTTTTTTTTTCTTGTTGTTGCTTTCTCTCTTTCTCTCTCGGTTTGTGCGTGCTTTTTTTATTGGCTGCGTGGGGCCGCCGCAGTATAGGGGTGCTCACGCCGGACCGCACCGACACTACACATACACACTTAGGAAGGACAAGCGTATTTTGTGAAGGGGGGAAAAAATAGAAAGACGAAGAGAGGGGAAGGAGAGGAAAAGAAGAAGAAAAGGGCGGGGGTTGGTCCGTCAGCATGGGGAACACCGTCTGCACGGATGCCGTGCCCCTCTCTCTGGAAGACGTTCTGCACTCCTGTCCGAAGTCGCCGACACGCTGCGTGGCGGAGGTGTTGTCAGATAGCGTCATAGAAAAATTCACGCGATACCAGCACAACTTTAAGGCCTTCGTCGTTTGTGAGGGCGCAACAGGCGCTGCAGTGAGGCGGGTAGATCCTTCGCAGCTTAGCGCACAACCGTTCGACCTCTCACAGGCAAAAATTAAGTTGGAGGAAACCGCAGCATACATCCTTCTGCATGTGCAGTGCACACCCATCGCCACAGCTGGCTCTGACACTCTCATCCCACGAGGTGAGGAGCAATCGCATCGGGAGTTGGATGGGACTCAAAACAGCAGTGAAGAGGCGCCCTCATGGTCACGCATACTTACAGAAGTGTTTACCCCTCGGGGTTTGGCAACGGCATTCGCGACGAATATTGGCAAGCCCTCACTTTTTCTTCCACCCTCTGTTTCTTTGACAGGTGGTGTCATTAGTCCAACTACGGTGCTTCATTCCGCCGCTGCGTCTTCGCGCCTGGATGGATTGGACTTTCGGTTTAGCATTCACATCCTTACTGGAAAGAAGGCGCATCAATTGGTGGCATCCGTCGCATTGCTCCATGCCTTGCGTATTGAACAGTCTTTAATGGAGAGTGATGAGAGCGTGCGACGGCTGTTTTTTAATTACAGACCGTCACACGGGACACTTGACATCAAAACAGGATTCTCTGCGTGTGTCCCTATCGGCGAGGTTGTGAGCTATCGAATTTTTTCGCACCGGAGTCCAATTATAGAGGAGACGCGAAAGAACGCCATTCTCCGCATCCTGCATGGTATACATGGGAAGTCGTTTCCGGCGATTTTGGCAACACCGTCCTCCGCATGCGTCAGCTTTTCTCGTTGTAGCACACCACGAGGAGTGTTTACCACCACAACCACCTCCTACTCCGCCCACACACAAGCTTTCATGTCATCACTTGCAAGTGTCACTCCATTATACTCTCATCGAAATTCTGGGTTGGATATACCACGTTTGCGTTTTGCGGCGGGCGCAGCAAGGCGGAGCGCGGTGGATTTGCCACGAAGTGCTCCTCCACAGTACGGAAGTACGATGACACCTCCGTGGACACAACACGAAGGGGCTTCAGCAGGATCAAATGCAAGCTCCACACGGACACCACGAGCCTTTGCAACCCCGCCAATTTTTCCTGTTATTTCCAGCTTACGTTTAAACGAGGCATTGAATGGGAGAGCCACCGCCGAGGTGAACACTGAGGGCGATGAAATTCGCATGACAGAGGAACGAATGCAGAAGCTGAAGGCTGCAGCACCGGAGGCTACTGAGGTACTCCCATGGTTATTTGTAGGTGGGGAGGAGGCCGCGGGGGATCGTGGTCAACTTCTCTCAAAGGGTATTACCAATATTGTCAACACCGTCGCATTTTCTGTAGGAAACGTTCACAGTGATGTCTTTCAGTACCTTGGACTTTACTTGAGTGACTCCCCGGATGAACCTATTTTTTCACTTTTCCCAATTGTGATCCGCTTTGTGGAAGAGACACGGTTGAAGGGAGGCAAGACGTTTATTCACTGTCATCAAGGCGTATCCCGCTCCTGTTCCTTTGTTATTGCCTACGTCATGTGGCATCAGGGTCTCTGCTATGATCGAGCATTTGAGTTTGTGCGTGCAAGGCGCAACGTGTGTAGCCCCAACACTGGATTTTATGTGAATTTGCTTCTATGGGAGAAGCAAATGGTCGCCCCCATTTTTAACAAGGTTTACGCATACGTCCCCTACACGGAATACATGTTCCCCTTCTCGTTTCGTCTGGCCCTCACGTTTCGTCCTCACGAGAACACGCACAACAATGACGACGACTCACACGTCGTTAATTTTCTTGCGCGTGTGGTCCATCACACTGACGAGAGTTACACGATGGACCCAAGACTGAGTTACGGCATTTTGTTGGGGGAACGTCTCCCACAAAGTGGAAGCCCTGTGACGCCCATCTTCTCCTACTTTTTTGCAGGCTCGGACTGTAACGCTATTGTGCAGCAGGAGGCCAAGGAGGACTGGAACGCATTTCTCAGATACAACTTTTACCAGGGACAGAGGAGGCGAAGCACCAACAACAAGGGCGAGATTGTCACGTATGCGCCAATACCGCCGATTGGGCAAGCAACAGAATGTTTGCAGAGTATTCAGGATGTTGAGGACGTCATTCAGGAACAAGTGTTTAACCGAAAGTGTGCGGCATCCAGTGGAGTAAGATTTCCAAGGCTAGTGCTGGCGCAGATTGAGTGCTGGGACAAACTGCTTGCCCACGAGAATATGATGGATCGCCTTTCAAATCATCTTTCGGAGCAGCAGCATGTGAAAGTAACATCTCTGAAACGTAAGCGCATACGGGAGGAGGAGCGACGATGTCTGTCTAACGTACTGCCTGCTGGTGGCACACCACGGATTTCATCTAATAAAAGTGCTGGTGCAAGAAGTAACACCATGGCAACCCCTACTGCACCTACATCTGCTGTTGTTGCAGGCGCTGCTGCTGTGGATTCGGCGTCGTCGGCGACGCCACTGTCTACACCACCATTAGTAACAACCACAACAACAAAATCAGCAGCCACAGATGGGAGGGCCGCCGTGTCACATGTAAGGACATACTCAGCACCTCATACCGCACGCTCCAAACCGTTGGGCGGTGAGGTGGAGATTTACGCCTACCCTTTTACTGATTCTCCGCTGACAAACATATTAGACATTGCCGATATGGAGCCGGATGGCTGCTACGTGGTTCTCGTCCCTGCCAATGCTGCCGCCGCCACGGCGTTAGGGCACCACCACGTGTTTTTGTGGTTTGGGTGCAACTCTAGCGTTACTGAGACGGAGGCATGGGAAGCGTACGAGCGATCGCTGAAGATAGACAAGGGCGTTCGTCTGTGGAATGAGACAGTGTTGGAGAGTCCGTTGGAGGAGGTGGTTCGTGATGGTGAGGAGCCAGACGACCTCATTTTGGCGCTTGAATGAGATGAGTACGTAGAGAACTGAACCAGCACGCAAAAGCGCATAAAAACTATGTATATACGTATATACATGACATATATGAGGTATGAGAATTTGTTATTTAAAGGAATAGCGTGATGTAAACGGGGATGCGACAGGGACTCGGCATTCCACTCCTTCACGCACGCATGCACGCTTTGCACAAAACGAGGATTGGGAAATTGTGACGGCGCCATCATGTCTGGAGCTGACAAGCATCATGCACACCCGGGCACACTCAGCGGTGCGTGTGTGTGTGTGTGTGTGTGTGTGTGTTGGAGGCTGCATGCCAGTGCGAGAAGAATACGCACATCTATGTGCGTTTAGTTGGGTTGCAGAAGCAGCGTGAGCGTGGGGAGGTGAAATGATCCTCACTCTTTTGCTTGCTGGCGTGCCCCTTGTATGTAGTATTTCGTGCTTAAATGTGCGGTAGTGCGGTATGTTTTGCGTGCATGCATGCATCTAGTTATGACTTGGCCCCCGCACCTTCATCTCTTTATTTCTTTCTTGATCTCTTTCCTCCTCTTTAGAGGGCTTTTACTGTAGGGAGTTAATAAGCGTTTTTGTTTTTGTTTCGTTTTGGCAGGAGGGCCTCTATGCTGGATGGTGCCCCATCTGTCGCCTCTCTTTCTTCTCTTTCTTTCTATGCTTTTCTCCCTTCGTAGTCACACCCACACCTTTGTTTGGGTGCACAAAACTCTGCAGCAAGCGGGCAGGGAAGAACGTAGTCAACACACATAGACACACGCACATACCAAGGAATTGGGCGAGCGGACGGAAGAGCGAGCGAGAAGTGGAGAGGCTTCCAGCATAGGCTGCGCGCCATGCTTCATCGATGCGCCTTCCTCCTGCGACGCCGCGGCGCTGGCATCATTGGTCTCCCAAATGTTGGGAAGTCCACGCTCTTCAACGCTCTAACCTGCAGTCAACAGGCAAAAACGGGCAACTTTCCATTTTGCACTATCAACGCAAACCTTTCGAAGGTGCCGGTTGTGGACGACCGACTCCGTCGGCTTGCCGCCTTCACTAGGGCACAGAAGATTGTAGACGTGGAGATTGATCTCGCAGACGTTGCGGGCCTTATTGAGGGCGCCTCTAAAGGGGCCGGTCTTGGCAACAAATTTCTTGCCGACATCCGCCCATGCACAATCCTGCTACACATGGTGCGCTGCTTTGAGAGCGCCAAAGATGGCTTTGATACCCCAACGCCGCTCGAGGACATAAACACCATCATGAATGAACTTGTGCTCGCTGACCTGGAGGCGATGGAAAAGTCGCTGCACAAAGTTAACAAAACGAGGAAGGCGGGGGATGCGGCTTTGGTATTTTGCCAGCGTGTTGTGTCGTGGCTGCAGGACGGTAAACCCGTCTCAGAGATGCGGCTGAAGACAGAGGAGGAGCGGCAGTGGCTGCAACAGTACCAGCTGCTTTCTGCGAAGCCAATGATGTTTGTGCTAAACATGGACGAGACGAGCGTCGTGGCGGGGAATAAGTTTGCAGCAGTCGTCGAGGAAAAATTTGGCACCGACCGAACATGTCGGGTGTCTGCCTCTTTAGAAGAACAAACCTCGCAGCTGACCTCACGGGAGGAGCGGCTTATGTTTCTGCAAGAATATGGCATTGATTTGCCGCAGGGGGAGGTGCTGTTGCGCCATGCGTACCACCTGTTGCGGCTACAGTCCTTCTTTACGGTAGGGCCACTCATGGCACACGGATGGACCACCAAAGTGGGCGCAACAGCAAGGCAGGCGAGCGGAGAGATCCACTCGGACATGGAGAAGCACTTTCGGCGCGCCAAAGTGATGCCGTACGAAGAATTCTTGTCCAAGCCGAACCTTGAGGCGGCAGAGATGCAGATGACCTTCGTGGACGCCAACCATGTCATGAGGGACGGCGACGTCATGATTGTTGAGCACAATGCCCCGTCCTAGCGATCCTGTAGAATATATATATATATATATTATTGTACCGATAGACTGTGAGATTCCATTGGCCAGGCAGAGACGAGGGGTGCCGCTGCGGCGACTGCTTGTTATCGAGAGAGGGAAGGAGGGAGGTTTTTGCTTTTTTTTTGCTTTTTTTTTCTCTATTATACAGTGAAGAAACTCATATGGAAGACACACGTACCCCCCTCCGCTCCCCTCTCCTTCTTACCCGTGTTGTTGCACCGTGTTCACATTATTTTGTAATTAGCCAGGGGACCGCCTGGCAGCATAAATGTCACCAATGAAGGGTCAAACGGTGGAGTGAGACGGTGGATGGCGCATGCCCGCAGCTAGTGAGTCCAAACCACCCATGAACGTAAAGAAGGAGACATTGAATATCTCCCTTTCCTGTCATTTTTTTTTCTTTTTTTTTTTTCCCTTACACGCACACACACACACACACACACATCTGCTGGGGCGAGAAGGGAAGCTAGGAGAAGCACGTTTTTTTTTTTCCTCAGTGAGTGAATCAATCTAGAGAACAATATCCATAAACAGAAGGAAGGGCGGCCACGGCACCGCCGCCACACACACACAGAGAGAGAGAGAGAGAAAGGTAACAGATAAAAGTGAAATTTGCTGAACTCGCCGCCCACAATCTCCTGAGGCCAGTGGAATTGAAGCAGGAGTAACCTGCAAAGGAAAGGATATCAAAGGGAACGAGGGGGATTCCCCTGGTGGCACAGCAAGGAGAAAAACACAAACAGTGAAACAGAAAGAGGGTGTCAGGGAATTGGGAGGGATAAATTTTCCATGTTTAACGCAAATGATGCACGTCGTTATCCGGGCTTCTTTACCAGAACGTGGACCCCGCCACCCGATGAGTTTTCCCTCAGAAACATAAAAAGCTACCATTCACGTGGCGCCTTTGCTCACGCAACGCCCCCGCCACTGACACCGCGTCTTGCCTCTCCAATTAACGTGAGAAGTCTTTCCGCGACCGAACCGTTGGAACGTCTTGAGCACTCACGCGCGTCACCGGCAGATTTGCAGGCTAGTCGAGCACTTGTGGGAATGTCACGCGAGGAACCAGACATCTTACCGCACATAAGCACGCTAGACACTGATGGCTCGGGCGCGTTCACCGCCGCTCATCCTGGCCGTCCTGGGTGGGAGGATATGCCACAAGAGGAGAGAATGACTTACACCACCCGTCTTGAGGAAGACGTGGGCCACGTGCAGGACACACTGAACCGGGCTTACCACCTGCGGGATCATTATAAGGAAGGGGCGGCGCGCCTTCACAGAGAGTTGCTGCAGAAGCGGAGCACTCTTGATCGTCTGGAGCGTGATCACCGCCAATGCAACGAAATTATATTTCGCCATAAGCGCGAGGAAGTTGACCTCCGCCAGCGACTCGATCATGCCGAGGGAGAAGTGCAGCGACTTAAGACATTGCTGCAGTCCGAAGAGCATTTAGGGGGTGCATCCGTGGTGCATGCAGAACACCAGCTACGTCTAAAGCAGTTAGAGGTCGATACTCTTTTGGAAGATAAGAGACATCTAGAGGAGCAGGTACGTGATTTGATGTTGCAACTCTCTCAGGAGCCGCGTTTAGTCCGCGTAAATGAAGGTGCAGTCACACAGCCAATGGACAGTTCACATGTTTGTGAGAAAGGGGAGGAGCTGTCGCAGGCACAACAGCTTATACAGGTCCTTCGTACTGAGCTGCAAGACCTGACGCAGCAACTTCAGAATGAGCGCTCCCAGCATGAAAGCGCGCTCGGTGAGATCATCAAAGAACGAAACAACGCCCTGGAGTTGAACAATTCGCTCCTTGCCGAGGTTGACGGGTTAGAGGAGTCGTGTTGCTCATATACTGCGTGCATTTGTAAGCTTCGTGAAGATTTCATGCAGCGGGCACCTCTGACACACGCGGAGCATCAAGCCCTCGTCGAACAGTGTGAGAAGCTGCGGGGGGAACTCCAGCAACTTCAAACGAGAGAATGTAGTTTACACGACAAGGCGCTTGAGCTCGAAAAGCAGGCAATACAACAACAGCTTTTCATACTACGCTCCGATGGGGAAGAGAAAAATTCAATGTTACATAGGGCACGTGCCGAATTGGCGCACATGCAAGACACTGTCAATGCCTTGCAGAATGAACTCGAACTTGCTCAAAAAGCCAAGGCACTGCTTGAACAGGAGCTTCTTCACGCAAGAGAAAGGCAACATTCCGCCAATGAGCAAAATAAGGAAGCTCAACAAGTAATAAAAGACTTCAATCAAAGACTTCAGAATCAATTCTTGGAAATTCATGAGCTAAAGGCGCAGGTGGACATCTTACAACGCCAAAAAACAGGGATACCAGCAGCAACCATCCTATGCAAAAAAGCGCTTTTTGCTAGTATGGGCCAGCGAGAAAATAGAGAAAAGAGAGACAAACTCCAGATATCAGGCACAACCTCCTGTCCATCAGAAGCCAACACTAAAATGCAACATGACCAAACACGGGCTATCTCAGAAACCCTACCGATGCCATCAGAGGGACAAGTAAGAACCCACAACGAATTCAACACAGCAACAAGGCAACCACCACATGAGATGAGTAATATCTTACAACAGCTGTCGGGAGCCCGGGCAACAGTTGAACAACTTTCCGCGGAGCGCGGTACACAGGCGGCACGATTGGCGGAATTGACGGCAGCCGTTGCCCGCCTGGAGAGCAGTGCCGATGCCTCTGGGCCGGTGGTGGAAGCGCTCACCGTGGAGCTGCAGGAGACGCAGGTCCGTCTCCGCGAGGCCGAGGAGGAGGCGACACAGCTGGCTGAGAGGCTCAGGGTCTGTGAGGAGCGTTGCGAGCCTGCTTTTGCATCTCGTTCCGCTGACACCGCGCTGACAGCACTGGAGCGTCTCGCCGAGGAGCGCGAGGCTCTGGCCGGGAGGTCGTCCGAGCTTGAGAAGCGTGTTGCAGAGCTGGAGCAGGAGCTGCGGGCTGCGCGTGGTGCGGATGTGTCCGAAGTGCCGTCTTTGCGTG